TTCCAGCCCGAGCTGAGCGCCGCCGGCTCCCGCCTGGCCGTGGTGAAGTTCACCATGAGGGGGTGAGTGAGGGCGGCCCCGCGCTCCCGCCGCGCTCCGCTGTGCCCGTGTTTGTGTCAGTCGTTCACGTTACCCGGCCCCGTGTGGGCCCTTGCCGGCACTCCGTGACACACGGATGTAGGCGCAGCATCAGCACCGCGTTCCTGTTCCTGGGATTAAACCCCCCTTTCCCGCCGAGCCCTTACCCTGCCAGCCCTCGGATCCGGGAGGGGATCGGGCGCTGCGCTGCTTTAAAACCCCGTGCCGGGTCAGGGAGCTGCTGTAAGCGGGGCACGGACAGCAAGGAAACATCCCAAACTTCTAAAAACATCTTCTGCCCTCGCCAAAGTTCGCTCTGTCCTCGCGCTGTTTGCCCAGGAAAGGCAGAGACTCTCCCCCTCCTCGGCAGGGCTTTGAGGTACAACTGCGGTGAGATCTGGATGAATTCGTGACCAAAGAAACCTCAGCGACTGAATTATTCACGTTAATCTGTGAATAGTGATCATCTCAGGGGGGCTGGGGCTTCAGAGCACACCTCGTTATTGTCCGGTTGCTGCTGCTGCTGAATTCTGGGGGTTTTTTTAGCTAATTTTCTACTTTTTTTTTTTTGGGGGGGGGATGATTTTAATTTCTTCTTTCCCAGTGAGAATATCCCTTTGCAGGAATAGTTGCAGCTGGATGCTTCCCACACTTTTGCTGGCACGGAATAATTAAAAATGATATATTTTCAGCCAAGGTGATGGAGTTAAATCAGCAGAAAACAGGGCCATGTTAATAACAGTGTAACCAGTTATTCCCGTAAATTAATATGGGGATAGCCGGTTGCAGGTGTAAATGAGATTTATTGTTGTAAGAATTTTATGATCCCTGAAGCTTTGATACATTATCACCATTAAATATTTAAGTCATATATAAAGGCTGTTTTTCCATGGAATGTGATGCAGAGTAATGATACGATTTTTCTATTAATAGTGTTTTTTTCTGCTTTTGCCCTCCTTTATATCACTTCATTGAGCAGTTAAAAATGCTGCAGTTAAGTTGCAGATATGAGTTAGTATTAATTAATAGGTGAAGCCACTCACGTGACATGGAAGCTGGGAATTAACTCCTCATCCTTAATTGTATCAGCAGCTGGCAGCCAGGTAGGGAGGTTATTTTTGCACCAGGATATTGGGAAGAGCAGGAATGTGCTGATTCTGTTGGGGGCAGGCATTTAAAAAAGAAAATAAAAGTGGAATTAAGTGGAATTGTTGTTTTCACAGATGTGGCCCTTGCTTAAGGATAGCTCCAGCCTTCAATGCCCTGAGTAACAAATACCCCCAGGCAACGTTTTTGGAAGTGGATGTGCATCAATGCCAGGTTGGTATGAAAAAAACCACTTTCAGTTGGAAGACAAAGAGCAGAGAATGGAGAATTTGAAGGCAAACCCTTCAGGCTTGATGCTAAAAGGGGTGTCCTTTGGCTGTTGCCAAATTCTCCCAAATCAGGAGAACAAACCCCCTATTTAGCAAAGTTTTCTTGCAGTGCCCACTGTGCTGCCCTTCATTTGAGCAGTGTACAGAGAGGTTATCAGTTCCTGCTGCCTGTATTATTAAGATAATACTTTAAATATAGAATCTAGCACCAGTGGGAGTTAAAGGAGTCTTTCCAGCCGAATATTGGTGTGTAATTATTGAGGGGGGAAAAGCAAAACTGCGATAAATCAATATGATGAGTGGGACCAGTGGTGACTGATCTAAGGGTCATTCAATGAATGGGGACTGGTTTCTGCCTCCCAGGGCACAGCTGCCACCAACAACATCTCAGCAACCCCCACGTTCCTGTTCTTCCGGAACAAAGTGCGGATCGACCAATATCAGGGAGCAGATGCCGTGGGCTTGGAGGACAAAATCAAACAGCACCTGGAGAACGACCCTGGCAACAGCGAGGACACAGACATCCCCAAAGGATACGTGTGTATCTCCCGGGGGCTTTGTTGGAATGCCTGGAGACCAAAAAAAAATCTTCATTTTTAAAACACACTCCAAGTCAAATACTAGGATTTTAGGCAAAGCTGCCTCAGAAAGTCACTTATCTGGGCTTCCTTTTCCAGAAAAAAATTAAATATTGATATGCGTACATTTAATAAGCAGGAAAAATCTCCTTAGTCGTTAAAATAATTAATTTAATGTTTATCATAAGGTTTTCCCTGCTTTTCTCACCCATCCCAACCTGCCTTCCTCCAAACGTTTTTTTGAAAGTGTAAAAATGTCTCATATTTTATTTTTCTAATGTTTGCCAAAGGGCACGGTAGTAAAAGTGTTCACTTTAGGTTTCTCATTGCCCATCAAAGAAGAACAAAGATGACAAGGGTATAAAATATATAAAATAAAAAAGATGGCACAGGAACAGCTGGAAAAGGTGATGTGCCTGCCCTGAGTGGCAGTCCTGCTGACTGATAATTGATAATTAATCAACAATTAATTACTGATATCTGAATAGTTTATTGATAATCAAATTATTGATAATTAATCAATAACACCTCCTTTTAAATGGCTTGGAGCCTGGAGAGCTGGGAACATAGGACTAATTTGGGGTGATTTTTAATTAAATCGATTCTAACTCCAGGCTGATGTTTGTGTGTGTGACCTGTGCTCTTGTTTAGCAAAAATATATTTGGAAGTTCTCCCTGTGCCAAGTTTCTGGTTCTTGGGATGGCAGGTGGTTCCAGGGATGCAGGATTTAAGGGATGAATCCCACCTGAGCACTGTGATACCCGTGTTTTGTGTTTGCTGCGCCTTCTGTCACCAACCCCTGTGACTTCCCCGAGCCCGTGGAGCCTCATCCCCCTCTCAGCATGCTCTTGCCTCTGTTCCCAGATGGATCTGCTGCCCTTCATCAACAAGGCCGGGTGTGAGTGTCTCAACGAGAGCGACGAGCACGGCTTCGAGAACTGCCTGCGCAAGGACCCCTCCTACCTGGAGTCCGACTGCGACGAGCAGTGTGCGGCACGGGGGGCAATCACAGGGGCATCCGGGGGGCACACAGGGGCACGGGGGGCACACAGGGGCACGGGGGTCCAGGGTTGTCCTGGGATTGCTGCAGAAAAATCAGGATACAAAGCGAAAAAATTCCAGTCAGAAAAGTGTTCGCTGATATTTAAAGGGAATGTGTGGGCAGAGGGAGGTAACCACAGAGTTTTACTCCAAAGCTCCCTTATCCCTCTTTCGTGTGCTGAGTTGGTTTTTAAGTGAAGAAAACAGTGTTTAATACTGGAGGTTTTGTTCTGTTTCCTTCCACAGCTGCTTATCACTGTAGCTTTTAGTCAGCCTGTCAAGCTTTACTCTATGAAACTTCAGGGGCCAGACAACGGTGAGTGAAGGGTCTGGGTGTTGGATGGGGTGCAAATATAAGGAATTGTTATACTTTTATGTGCAAGTATAATTACTATAGTTATATACACAAATATAAGTGTTTCTTAATGTTTGATACACAAATAAAAGTATTAATGTTTGATGCACTGCAGAGAGACTCTTGGATTTAATCCGAGGATTAAGGTGAGAGCAACTGAGAGACAAACCTCTTTTATAGTAGCTCAGTTTACATCATGAGATCACATAAAATTCATAATTAGATGTAATTTTGGGATGTAACACCCAAATGGAATCCCACCCCTCTCTTTTAACCCAGGGCAAGGGCCAAAATACATCAAGATCTTCATCAACCTGCCGCGGTCGATGGATTTCGAGGAGGCAGAGCGCAGCGAGCCCACCCAGGCCCTGGAGCTGGGCCCCGAGGACATCAGGGAGGATGGGATCATCCAGCTCCGCTACGTCAAATTCCAGAACGTCAACAGTGTCACTGTGAGTGCCCTGCCCTGAGGGCACCTGGAGGGGAAACCCCCCGGGTAACTCACCTGGCATTGATGTTGAGGGTCATTCCAGTGGATGCTGAGCTGGGACTTCTGAGAATCTGCTTTGGCTTCCTCACTGTGGCCTCAGGGGGGGAAGTGGAAGCTGGGAAAATCCCAGCTGGGTGGGGTTTTAACAAACTACCAGGAAGACACCAGCATTCTATATATAATTATTTAAATTAGCAGGACAGGAGCTCCTCTGGGTGTTAGAGACCTTTATAATTGGGACAAAAGTGTTAATTTGGTTAATTTTCTCGAGCACCTCATGTTTTATGTATTGAGTGAGAGATGGAGAGTTTAACTCCTTTTTTTTTTTGGCTTTCTTTCCTGTTCAGTTGTTTGTCCAGTCCAATCATGGTGATGAAGAGACAACACGAATCACATATTTCACATTTATTGGCACTCCAGTGCAAGCCACGAACATGAATGACTTCAAACGAGTGAGTCCTGTTCCTAAACCCACTTTTTACAAGGTTTTGGTCACTAACTTTGTAGGAATCAGTGGTAAGAATGTATAGGTAAAAATTTGAGGGGCTGGCAAGTTCTAAACACCGACAGCAATGTTATTTTTTAACAGTTGAGACTTATATCTTGGTTTTGGGACTCCCTTTTTTGAACCTTTTAATGTAAAGAATCTTATTTTAAAATCAGCTGCTTTAAAAATTAGCAGGCTTTGTAAAATGCTGCTGCAAACTCCTGGGGAGGTGACCAGTAACACTGAGAGCACCACGACTGATGTTACAAATAACCTTTCATTTCAGAAGGTTAAAGCACTAACAGCAACGTGGCACCTACTTAATTTATAACAGCAAAATTTGACCCTAACATAAAACTGAATTTCTTTGCAGGTAATAAGTTAATAAATAGGTTTAACAGGCTTTGCTGCCTTTCACTGCAGCTCAAAGTCATTAAAAAGTTGTTCTAATGGACTAAAATTAATTCAGATTGCAGACCTTCCCCGTTCTTCCCGAACTACAAATCTTGGTGATCTTCTCATATTTTCTGGTTTCTGTGGCTTTTGAAATTTGAAAAGAGACAATGTCTGTGGACACAGTGCTCCTGGAGTTGTGCTGGGCAGGTCAGGATGGGAAGGAAGTGCTCACAAATAGAGGAGCAGGGCTGGATGAGGAACTGGCTGATGTGTCCCAGTCAGATCCTCACCAACACTACCTGTAACATTCCTATTTTCCTTCCCCAACGTGGAGTTTGAGGAGGAGGGAAGTCTTTAGAGTGGTGGAAAAGAGGGACACCAGGGAAAAAACTGCTGTTTAAGCCCATGGAGAGTAGTGGGAAGAGCCACAGATAAATCCTGAGAGGGTGGAGGATATATTTTTCCCCCTCTGGAGTAAATTCCTTGGTTCTCCTCAGACCTGCCTGTTTGCACTGAATGTTTTTACACCTTTTGCTGCTGCTTTGGTTCTTGTAACGCTCCTTCTGTTTGTTTTCCAGCTTAACTCCCCATTCCCAAAGAACTAAAAGGGCAGAAGAAATTAAAAAGTAAAGATGGGATCGGTGTGGCCTCGCACTCCTTCCCTCCCTCCCTCTGCTCAGCTCCTGCCTTTCCCACAGTCCCAGCACCTTCTGCACTCCCGACTCACCAGCTCAGCTTCTCCCTCCTCTCCCTGCTCCAAATCATTCCTTAAACACTTCACTTGCCCCGTTTTTACCCTGAACTTGCCATTTTAAGGTCACACCAAAGAGTCCTTTCCCAGCTGAATTTTGTGGGGCTGGTGGAGATGCTCTGCCAAGACTCCTTTGTAATATCTTAATGGAAAGGAAGGGAAATGGAATCAAACCCACCTACCTGGGGGTTTAATAAACATTTCCTGTGGGATTGTGGGGTGGGATGGGCAGAAAACGGGTGGGGTTTGAGCTGAGATGCCAAAATATCCATATCCATGTGCTGGGTTTTCCAGATAATTCACATGGGCCACTTGTCCCTCTCTGCCTCTGACTGGTATCGAACTTTTTTTGGTATTCTGTACTTCCTAACACCTAATGCCTAATCTTTTAACTCTGGTTTTCCTTTTTCTTTTCCTGATTTCTTTGCCTAATCTGTGTGTGGACACAGTTTGGAAGCACAGCAGGGATAAATTTTGCTCTGTGACAAGTTTAACTGTATTTTTTTAACTGGATTAATTATCTGATTTTGTTCTTCTTCCCCCACATTGCCAGGTTGGAATTTTCCTGCCTTTGAGCATTAGGTTGAATTTCCAGTTGGAAATGCTCCTGATTAGGGATTCCTTGAGGTGAAAGTGGGAGAGAATTCCTCCCTGTTGCAGTTTGACAAGGAATTAAAAAAGGGAAGGAGCAGGAAAAATGCTTCCCATGGGTCCATGGATTCAGGACTGAGGGGGTTTGGGCTTTTTTTGGAATATCTGTGAATTCCTGGATTATTGTACGGGTTTGAGCTGCATTATCAGGTCAGTATTTCTGGGGAAGCCCATGGAAAGGATGCCAAGGAAAGGAGCAGCCTCAAACTGAGCATCCAGGGTTTTTTTTCCCACTTGACTTTTTTATGGAGTGTGTTAAGGTGTAATGCTTGACGTGTGACCTGGATTTTGGAGTGTTCTCTGGCAGTTCCCGTCTCCTAACTGCTCCCAAAATAGCCTTGCTGTGTTCAACACTAAACAGAAGGGTTTGTGTGTGTTTCCCATCCCTCCTAACCCCGGGAAGGGATTCCCATCCCTCCAGGTGCTCCCGTAACGCTCCTGGCTTCCCTCACTGGGAATTGAGTTGCACTTGGATTTACCGGAACCAAAAGAGTCCTGCTCAGGAGCTGTGAAACATTATTCCTGTTTTTCTCCCCTCTTCCAGGTAGTTGGCAAAAAAGGAGAGAGCCACTAGGAAGCAAAGCCACTGGAAGGCCTTATCCCAGTCCAAGATTCCCCCTTTTCTCTCTGACTCCTGGATAATTGCTTGACCATAACCAGAGACTGTCAGTTTGATTTACTGCCATTTCCAATAAATCATTGCTTTGAGCTGGAGTGTGTTTCTGGTGTCCTCCTCCTCCTCCATGGATTTGTAAGTAAAATTCCTGATTTTTGCCAAGTTGAATTTTGTAATTCCAACAGTTGTGGCTCTTTTATTCTATTGAAACTTCCTGACTCCACTGAAAAGCTCCACAGAAAATGTGTGCTCAGAGTTTCTAATGTCAGATACAAGAGAAACCTGGGTTACTCTGGATCATTATTGCCACTAAATAGAGATAATTCTCGGATAGGAGGAACTTCACTTGTTTAATTCCCATTTCCCTACCAAATCAGAGCAGAGGAAGCAGATTTAAAATCTTGACTTCCAAGGAATTCCTGAGTCTTCCAAAAGTGTTTTTTTAAATTAGAAATTTCTGCTCTTGTTTCCCAGGCAGGCTGGGATTTAGATGTTGTTCCTGATTTATTTTATTGGATGTTTTCCCTCTCTCTGGATCTCAGTAAGGAAATATTTATTACAAATATTAATTTTCCATCTTAATTGGAATTTTTTTACTACTTAGGGCATACTTCCAAGAAAACTTACCAAACTAATGTTAATAAATCAGGCATTGATCAGCACCATATCCATAGAATTCTCTGAATTCCCAGGAAAACTTACTAAGTGTTTAATTGCCATAATTAATTTCTTTGTTCAGTTAAATTTACTGCATTTTTAATTACACAAATCCCATTAAAACTTAAATCCTGGCCTAATTGCTGTTCCTTGGGCACAGTGGGGTGGTTCTCTTCTGCCTTGGCACATTTGGATGTTCATCCCAAGTGAATTTCCTGTTAAAATAGAGATATTTCTTTTTCCAAAGAAAACTGGGAATTATCTATAAAGCCTAATTTTCTGAGAGGCACTGGTTTGTTCCCACTCTCACTGCATATTCCAGGATCCTCATGGAGCTGTGTTAATCAATGGCATGTGATGACAGCTTGACTCTCTCCTAATTCCTTACTCTTTTGTTTCAAGGGATGTAAGACGTGGAATTGTAAATAGAAATAAACCATTTTTAATACGAATAACTTCCCGTTCCTGACTTTGTGCACTCATCCCCTTTGCATTCTTGGGGAACTGCCTCGTTCCCTCCCTCCTTCCCGCCTGAGTTATGTGCCAGGTTCAGCGATTCTGGTGTTATAAATGAATGAAATGTATAATGTTTATTGCTTACAGTGCATCCCTGCCCTGCTGCTGCCGTGCTCCTGGATTTCCTGGATGTTTCGGGGCGGGCTTGTCGCCTGCCCGGGGTCAGCTGCCCTCCTGCCTGTGGGTCACCCTGACCACCGAACTCGGAGGGGTCTGTGGTTTATCTGCGGGTTTTGTGTTCGTTGGTGGGTTTCGGTTCATTTCGGGGCGGGTTCGCCTCAGGCCGGGGTGTGCGGAGGCGGGTCGGGGGGTCCCTCACAGCCCCTGCCCTCAGCCACGGCAATGGCGCTTCCCGCCCCTTTTTCCCGCCCGATTTTCCCGCCCGCTGCCGGGAAAGTTTTTTTTTTTGTTCCCGGGCACCGCCGGGGAGGTGGCGCTGCGGATGCCGGCGGGAATAGGGCCGGGAATGGGAAGGGCCGGGAATGGAAGGGCCGGGTAAATGGAAGGGCCGGGAATGGATATTGGTCCGGGAATCGCGCTCGGGGAAACGCGCTCGGGGACACGCGTGTCACCCCCCCCCGCGGGTCACGGAGCCTCGACGCGAACCTCTGGGGTGGGAGACCCCAAAACCCCCCGTCCTGGAGCTTCGCCTGGAGCTGGGAAGTGCGGCCGCGACACCCTCGCTGTTCCCGGCTGGAAAACGGTAGGAGAACGGGAAAAGTACATCTCAATCGCTTAAAAACTGTGTTAAATCCAGGAGAACCTGTCTGTGGGGCACCGGGGCAGGTTTCCCAGAGAAATGTGGTTTTTCCTGGTTTTTTTCCCCTCATATATAATTTAGCTGTAATCTGGATTTTAATTGATTAATTTTAATCCTTCACTTTGTACAGAATAAGGAACTTGTCCCTTAATTCCTCACGTGTGTCCTGCAGCAGCTTGGATGGGAATGCAAGGGGGAATCAGGAGCTCTGTGACCCCCTTTAATAAGACTTGATCATTGATTAATTAGGACATGATTAACTTGAGGATGTTCTTGGGAGCGCTGTGTGAGTGCATATATATTTAGGGAATATATTTAGGGAATACATGTAGGGAATGTATTTAGGGAAAGGTGAGCCTGTACACAACCTGCTCCACCAAAATTCCCTCAATCAAGAAACAAGGCTATTTAAGATTAAATTAATGCGACTCATTCCATAATTACAGAGGGTTTCAAATGTCATATTTCTGGATTGGATACTAATGGTGCTGAGGAATCTGCAGCTGGTGTTGGATGGGAGCAGAACCAGCCCCTGGAGAGTGGGAAATGGCAGGAACTGCCTCAAATCTCCACCGTTGTCCCATTAATCACATTTGTCTCCGGGAGTACCTCAGTTCTGACTCCAAGTGTTGTTTTTCCCTTGGTGTGTCCCATGTGGAAAAGCCTCCAGTTGAAAAATCCGGTTGAAAATTGAGGAGCTTCCCAGTTTCTCCAGACCCTAAAGATCACCTTCCAGGGGTCTCCTGAGCACACAGCCAGGCCAGATTTGGGCTCCCTCCTTGTGTCCCCCCAAATCTGAGTTATTCCCTGAATTCCAAATGTTTGACAGCAGACACAGAACTTACAGAGCATTTCACACTTTCCCCCCCCCTAAAATGTTTAGTGAAAGAATTCTGAACAGATTCACAAACAAACTGGAAAAAAATTGCTTTTCCACTTAATCTGAGGATTGCGTTTTTCCCTATCTAAAATAACATTTAATGGCCAAAATGCTTCAATTCCATCAGGTCACATCAATGCTTTGAAACTGAAATATTTGGGGCTTTCCATGACATGAATATTTTCAGTGTTTGGATTTTTCTGAAGGCTTTTGTTTTCCCAAATTCTCCCCCACCAGACCTGAATGTCCCAAATTCCCCGAGTCGTGGAGGTTGAACTCCGGGAAAGCAGCCGTGTGTCACTAACACTGTGTTATTAACACTGGGGGAAGTCTCCAACTTGCAGCATCTTGCCAAAAACCAGACAATAAAAATGGCTCTGGCACTTTTCCTCCCCTTTTGAATGTGTATTTTTCTCCCTGCACGGGCTCAGGCACAGAAACACGCCACAAACACACCATTCCCTGGGAAAATGCCTTTTTTTCCCCTTAAATGAACTTCTAGGAAATATTAATTTTTTTTTTCTCCCTTTTTAAAAATGTTTCTCTTTCTCTTTCATTTTTCCTGGTTTATATCTCTGTAAGCACAAAGTCCTGTGTGGGGACAGAAGCAATTCCTGGGAATTATCAGTGGCTTTTAACACCGGTGTTTTATTAACGGACAGGATCAGCTCCCTGAGTAGCTCATCCCAAAAGGAACAGGGCATTCGGGGTGGCTTCTCTGCTTATCCCATTTTAGTGTGGAAGGATAAAGAGGGAGACAAACGTTGGGGGTGTTTTGGTGGAATTCCCCCCGTTTCTGGCCGTGGGAAATGGAAGCTTTCACACCCCTCCACGGCAGCTCCGAGGGGAGGGAAGGTGGGTCCCCCCCAGCTCTGCTCAGAGCACACAGTGGCTCTGATTGCACAGCTCAATATTTCACAGAAACAATATGCTCTCCCAGTTCAATTTTCCTGGGCAAAATGGCTTTTTAAAGGAATTCATGTGGCATTATTTCCCGATTCCGAGGAAATTAGAGCTACACGGATGTGACTGATCTACATTACATTTATTATACCTCATCTAGGTAAATGGGAGCTAATTCCTCAGCCTCCAGATCAATTATCTCCTGGCACTTTGCTTTTATATCAGATCTTCCAGTCGGAGGTTTATTTGTAGCTCTTGTGGCATTAATTTAGTTGCAGTTTTATACAAGCATTTATTATTCTTATATGTCTGTATTTATCAACATTATTCCTGGGAAGGACGGGAAGCAGAGAGGTGTGGCAGGTTTTAATTGTAAGTATTTTAGGCTTGGTTTGGGTGGTTGGATGCTGCTGGATCTGTCTCACAGGCGGCCCCGGGGGGCTGAATCCTCGTGTTTGTGAGCCCCCATCCCGGTGGGATCCGCAGGATTCCCATTGGATCCCGGAGCAGGACACAGTGACAGCTCTCCTGGGCGGGGGGCCGGGCTGGGGGCTGTCAGCTCCAGTGCCAGGAAAGGGGCTCTGCTGGAATTTTCTGCAGTAATTAGTCTCTCTGTGAGTTTTTAGGCTCCGTGTCATGTCGGGAAGGCAACATGTTCGACAGCGGTACCTGCCGGGGGAAGGAGCCGTGTGCCGGCATTTTTCATTCCAGACAGCAGAAAAATGGGATGTGGAGCTCGGGAACAGTCGGGGGCACGGCGACTTCCAGTGACAGGGAGGATCCGAGCAGTTGGCGAGTGTCAAACTGCGGCTCCTGCCTTTTCCTTGGAGTCTTGGGCTTTGGAAGCCACAGGCAGGTGATGCTTCGCTCCCAAAACCACCTGTGGCTGCCCCAGGCACGGGGAAAACTGGGCACTGGAAAACCAGTGACAGGGAAAAGGGTTGCACAACCTTGACAGGATTCCATCCTGTGCTTAGGGATGGGAGTAAATCCATCAACTTCAGGACAAATAACTGCAATTAATTAGATTTCAGCTTGAGAATTGCGCTGGCTTTTACTGTTGTAAGTGAAATAAGGACAAATGTTTGGGGATTTTTTGAACTGTTGAGCAAATCTTATCTAAAAGGGTAATTTCCAGCTGGCCTGGGGCTGGGAAGGGGCAGGGCAGACCCCTCTGGAGCAGCTGCAGGTCCCGCTGGACGTGCTGCTGGATGGGCTGAGTGTCTCCCAGAGCTCGAGGCAGACCAGGCTCTTCCCAGCCCGGAGCAGCCGTGGGCTCCAGAGCTGGGCTGGGACCACGGTGGGTCCCCTCTGGAGCTCTCCCTGTGGGAAGGGTGGGGGGCTCTTTCCCGGGACCGCCCACGGCATGGCTGGGAATCATCTCAGTGTCTCATCCATCACCCCCAAATTGTTCAGCAGGTTCCAGGACAGCGGGAGCAGGAACAGCATCTGTTCCTCCCTGCCAGAGCCACGGTGATGGAATGCCAGGGATGGAGCTCCTGCCTCGCTTCCCGCTGTCGGGAAGCCAAGGTGGGACGGGGTGGATGGAAGGAAGGGCCAGCAGCCTGGGAAGGGTGGGATGGTGGGTGCAGCCCCCCCTTCAGCCCAGAGCTCACACCAGCCAGCCAGGGCCCTCCCCTCTGGTTTTGCAGGGACTGGGAGAAGGGCAGAGTTTTCCCAGGTGCAGTTCAGTTCTAAGTGGGAAAAGTGTGAATTGCCACCCAGTGGCACCCAGGACAGGACACCTCTCCCTCAGCAGCCCTGTCCATGGCAAAGACAGGACAAAGGCATTGCTTCCCAGTGGGAAGCATCCTGAAATGTGGGGTAATCCTGCTGTTATGAAGGATGTGGAATTCCACAACCTAGGATACTCTTACATGCTTTATGGAAGTTAACATCCCATATGTGTCAGGGCTTGCAGGACACTGTTGTTTTTAACATCCCCACATTTGTAGGAACTGTAACCAAATCCCTTTTCCAAGAGGAATAAAAGTCCAGGCTGGGGTATTTTATGAATGGCAGCTGTGTCCAGAGCCATTCCATAAAAACCTGTGCACGGGGCTGTTAATCCAGGCAGGAATTCTGGCTCCGTGCAGGGGGTCTGCAGCAGAGTCTCACCAGAGCTGGACAGGGCTTCCCGATAGCACCTGGCGGGAATGTTTAGGGGGAATGTTTTCCCAGCGTATCCTTGCAGGAACCCACGGAGCCCCCGGGAGCGCTGAGGGCACCCCTGAGGAGAGCTGGGATCCGTGCCTGGCCCTGCCTCAGCTCACCCTGAGGGTGACCCCGGGCTCTGGGGTGTCCCACGTGTGCCCTGTCCCCTCGGACCAGCCTTTCCCGTGCCAGGGGGGCTGGGAATTGCCAGCCTGCCGCATTCCCATCACTAGGCAACGGCG